CTGGTGTTGTCAAGTTGACATGAAGTAGAGTCATCTGAGATTTGAGAACTTTAACTGAGGGGTTGCCTTTGCCACATTGCCTAGAGGGATGCATGTGGTCCATTTCCTTGATTAATTATTGATGTGGATGGTGCCACCCTTGGGCAGGTGGGTCTGTTGTATAAGAAAGCAGGCTGAGCAAGCCATGAGAAAGCAAGCCAACAAACAGCGTTCCTCGATGGCTTCTGCTTCGGTTCCTACCAGGTTCCTGCCCTGACTTCACCACAATGACTGATGGTGATGTGGAGATTTAAGCAAAATAAACCTAAGTTGCTTCTGATCTTGGTGATGATTACAGTGATAGAAAGCAACCTAGGACAGATTTGAATGTTAACTGTGGATATGAAAATATAAAGAGGAAACACAGAAGAATTTTCTAGAAGCCGTACAAGAAAAGATTGACAGCAGAGATACCAAGAAGAATTGTTGTATGTGTGGATCTGAGTTGAGGGCACCCGATGAGATTTCCAGGTTGTTGTGTCCCAGGACAAAACATTGAACCAGGCACTCATAGTGGTGCGAACAGAGACACTTTATTAAGAAAAGTAAAGGCACTCCTGGCTTTGGGAGTTGGCGAGTGAGCTGGGGAAAGACATGCTCAAAGGCATTAGCCAGGAGGCTTATGGCCCTTATAGGTGGTTTGAATAGTACCCACCTTCTCTCAAAGTTGTATACAGAGAGCTCTTTCTCAGACATACTTTGTTACATGTTGCCCAAGTGGGGAATATATATTAGATTTACCAGAGTGGCTTACAGACTGTGGTCCAGCTAGTCTAACAATGACTATCTCCTGATGGCAAATCCAAGAATCCAATAGTTGTTCAGTCCACGGGGCTGGATGTCTCATCTGGTCTTCAGCATATGTCAGAATCCTGAAGAAGTAGTCTCTAATGCCAGGGAAGGAATGTGTCAGCAGCAGATATGTAACCCTGACAATGAGAGTGAGGGCAAGCAGGCAAAAAGCAAAAGCCATTTTCTTCCACATCTTTTATCTCGGTTGCCACGAGAAGGTGTGGCCCAGAGTTCGGGCAGGTCTTCCCACCTCAAATGATCCAGTCAAAAAAAAATCTCTCACAGGTATGCCCAGCTACTTAGACTTTTAGTTAACTTCAAATGTAGTTAAGTTGCCAAACAAGAATAATCATCACAATGGGGTTCTTTCATATTTTACTCTTGAGGTCTGTCTTTCTCCTGGCAGAAAAGGAGACTGAAACTTGCTATTCTATCCTAACAGTAAGTGAAAACCTAAACAAATTCTTAAAAAATCAACAACTCCTCTTAGATTCTAAGAGTCTTAAGATCATGGGCCAAATCATTGTCTGCAGATCTGGGAAGACAGAGAATCACAGTTCACTAACGTTTAAACTCATGGATGGAAACCTCTAGAAACCAGTGCTTAGGGGAGAAAAATCCAACTTACAATTGACCAATTGCTGTAGAGTCTCTTTGAAATATATTTGAGAATAAGCTCTAGTGACCCAATAACAGGGGAGGGGAGCACATTTTCAGGTCACTTTTACTTTCAAGAAGCCAGCTAGGTTCTCACAGTGAATTCCAGTGCTTCTGTCATGGAGGAGAGACATACCCTAGTTCACTCTGCTCTAGCAAGATATGCCTTCAGAAGGTCTTGTGGCCACATCCTGATCTGCTGGGGTTTACTCAGAACACAGCTGCCTAGAAATTGTAAATAGCCAATCCCAGCCCACTCTACCTGTCCTGTGCCACTCAGGTGTGTCACAGCTCCCTGACACAGGCTCCGTGAAAGTAGGAGAGCAAACTCTGTGTACTTTGGGCTTCAAGTGATTAAGTCTATGCCAAAATAAAGTCACTAGTGGTGACAAATAAACTGTACTGGTGGAGTATACTGATACTGGAAGAGGCTGTGCATATTTGAGGGCAGGGATATATAGGATGGCGAATCTTTGTACCTTTCTCTCAATCTTTCTATTAACATACAACTCTAAAAAAGCAAACCAAAACTAAAACAACAAAACAACTCCCTATGGTAATTTGAAGAGAATGGCTTCCATAGGCGCCTATGTTTGAATGTGTAGTCAATGGGGAGTCTTTTTTGGAAGGATTAGGAGGTGTGGCCTTGTTGGGGTAAGTGTGGCATTATTGGAGGAGGCATGTCACTGGAAGTGGGCTTTGAGGTTTCTAAAGCCAATGGCAAGCCCAGTCTTTCTCTCCATCTGCTGCCTATGGATCAGGGTGCAAAACTCTCAGCTACAGCTCCAGCACCATTCCTGCCTGCTTCCTGCCTCTGAAACTGTAAATCAGCCCCAATTAAATGTCTTCTTTTGTAAGAGTTGCCTTGGTTTTGGTGTCTCTTCATGTTAATAGAACAGTAACTAAGACATAACTCAAAAACAAATAACAAAAGTCATCCTAAAATAAACCCATAATAAAAATCTCTGGATAGGGAAAAATAAGGAAATAACAAAATGGGACCAAGTATTTGCATATTTGCAACTCAATAAAGAAATAGGCAAGTACATCTTTTCTCTCTTATAATTCAATGATGTGTTTATCTAAGTTGTTCTATTACTAATAAAGACTTGGGAGTCAAATATTGGGGTGAAAACCTGATAGATCGAAGAAGTAGTAGAAGAGCAGTCAGCTGATCTTCTCTCTACACTTCCCAGATCGAAGAGGAAGTCCAAAAAGCCTGAGAATCTCCAAGTCCCTCCCTATTCCTGTGCCTCTCTACCTATATTTTGGGTCCTCCATATACTCTATGACTGATTCTTGTCAGCTAGTCACTGGCTCTGCTCCCTGATTCAAGGTTAACTTTATTGGTACAGTCTTGGGGAGTCACAATACAATCAAATATCCCAAAATGAATAAATAATGAATTAAAATTTGGACTAAGGATATGAGGACCTTTCTTTAAAGAACATATTGAAATGATCAGCTACACACATAAAGAGATGCCCAACATCACCAACTATCAGGAAGTACAGATGGATGTCACCGTGAGAGATCACTTCATACCGAGTATGATGGCTTGAATATAGCAAACAAAAAACAATCAGTCAAAGAAACAAACAAACAATAAGAGAGTTGATTTGGTGAAAGTTTGGAGAAATTAGAAACTTCATTTAGTTCTGATGAGAGTATAAAATGCCTCAACTATATAAGGATATAAAGACAGGGAGAACAATGCCTTGATCTGGGAACACAAAAGGAATAGGTAAAGAGCTCTAGAAGGATGGTGGAGAGTTGGGGGCTGATAGGTAAAGAATATGTGCTTTTCATTTTCAGGGTGAAGACAGTGCTCTGAGGTTGATCGTGGTTATGGCTCTACAACTCTGGACACACTGAAATACTTTGTATTGTACATTTTAAATGGGTAAATTTTATGGTTTTGAATTATATTTATCAAAAACTAAAGCTTTTGTATTATAAAACATCCGTGTTTATGCTAACATCTGAAATCATCTTGGTGGATGGAATAAAACCATCTTTAGTGGTCACACCCCAGTAAACACAAATTGTGTAAGTAGAAGCCACATAGGGATGCGCTTAGCAAAGCTCTTTTAAGTAAGGCTCATCATGAGGAAGCAAAGAATTCTGCAGCATGGCACTTCCGTGGGACAAAGTAATATCAGTGTCCTTCATGGGGAAAACAACACCACTGTTCTAGACTGAAAGAGAAGGAATGGATATGTCAACTAAATTCAGAGTATGACCGTTGAGTGAATCCTAAATCTTAAATGTTGAAAACAAGGGACCAAATTCAGAAAGTTCTTTTTGATACTTTTATCTTGTGGCGTATTGCCTCCCCTTTTCTGTAAGCTTTAGTGACTCAGATTTCACAGTGAGGTCTTTGATCTATTTGCTGTTGGTCTTTGTGTAGGGTGATAGATAAGAGTCCAATTTCATTTGTCTGCATGTAGACATCACATCTCATTTTCCCAGCACTATTTGTTGACAAGACAGTTGATAAGCTACCGTGGGTGGCGGAACTCTCACAAGACCCCTAGATGGAGAGCTACAGACAGTTAATGACTGCTGAGGGAGGGAGATTAGTCTTCTCCGGGGATAGGCCACTGAGTTGGTTATTCAATACCAAATGTTCAGTTCTAAAAACATATACACATGAGCAACACTAAATGGACTCGGCAGGTGATATTTATGCATTTGTTCACTTATAGAGAGATTGGTTTGCATATATATGTAATAATATTTAAAGAAAAAGAGGCCATGAATTTGAAAGCGGAAGCAGGGAAGGAATTGGAAAGAAAAGAGAGATGGGAGGAAATGATGCAAATGTAGTAAGGTACACAAAATATTTTAAAAATTAAGAGAAAAGAAGCAATAATGACACAGAAGAATGAAGGAAATGTGAACATAGACTAAATGTTTCGTAATAGTGCCAATATTCAAGCTTAAGTAAGATAATGTTATTTGTATATGGGAAGATGCTCTTGTTTTTAGTGCAAATGCACTTAAATGTTAAGGAATAAAGTTTCGTGTTTGTCACCTGTCTTAATACACAAACACAAAGTAAAAGTGACCAGTTAGCAGTGAGAGAATCTCCAACAGGTAAAAGGTGTGCATGTGTTTAGGTCTCTGTGGATTTTACATAGTTTAAAACAGAAAGCTGGGAAATGAGTTAAAATAAAGAATTAAGAGAAGGACTAACTGAAGCAATGGCAGCTTTGGGCCTCAGCAAATAAGGCAATTGTCCCAATCTGTGGCTTAGTGTATGCATTTCACTTGACTATATACACACAGCACTTAAAAATCACTACTGATCTATCAACGGGGTTGGCATTAAAAAGAAAACTTATGAAGTTAAGTGAGAATACAGATCAGACACCCACACACTTTAGCTTGAGTGAAAAATCAGAACAAAAGGCTTAGGAAATGGCATGTCAATATCTGATGAGGTTGCTCTATGACCCACCATTCCATTCTCAATTATATACTGGATAGAAGTCTATATGGTGACGTACCGACATGTCCAGGGTACTCTCTGCAGCCCTGTTTCTCTCAGCTTCTACAGACAACAATTCCTGCATCCTTCACTACAAGAATGGATGAGTACGTTATTTTCACATAATAGCATACAATAGACAATAAAAATGAATGCATTGCTGCTTTACAGAACAACATGGGCAAATTCTACAATCTCTGTCCAACAAGAGGCTGAAAAATCGAGACACAAAAGAAATACATATATTTCTTTCAAACACTGAAATTTCATTTGTTATAGGTGAGAACCATGGTTTCTTTTAAGGCATAGTAATGAAAAGGAGGGGGAATGAGAGGGGTGATAATCTATCCTATGTCACTATCTGGATTTCTAGAGCCATGAGTAAGTTTGCTTTGCAAAAATTCTGTCAATTAAAGCAAATAATAATCCAGAGGCAGAAGGATTGCTTAGTGGTTAAGAGTGCACACACAAATATAAACATACATCAACAAAAAATAGAAATAGTTCAGTTGGTTGCAGGTGTCTGATTCAATGGATGCACAATTCGGGAATCTTACCAGAAAGAATGTAGGCTCAGATTTTGGGTGTAGCTCTTCCATTCTGCCTCTACCATGGTCAGGATGTGCAGTCCTCCCATGTTGTAGTTAATAGGCACTAATAGACTCTTGCTAGAACATGACATTTATCTCCTTCTCATTTGTACCATACAAATGAAGTTAAAATACTGACACCCTGTTGGCTCAGAGGCAAGCTAGTTCCAACGTGTCCCACTTTCTCTTGCTATTCAGCATTCAGAGTGGATTCAGAACAACAAATGCCTGGCCCAGTTTGAGAACACTGCCTGGTCCTCTGGTCCACGTCAGGGCTTGTTCTTCCAGTGAGTGCTGATTAAGGGTTCTTCCACCCTTCCTACACAGATGTACCAAGTGCCTCAAGTGGCTATACGAGCTGTGCCAAGTTCTTTCAAGGCCAAGGGGATGCAGTGGGAAGGAGGGTGGAAGAGAACTGGAAAGACTCTGGCTTATATATTTCAACCCTACTAAGATAGGAACCGGGAGAGCCACAGAACTATATCATTAGGGGTTACCATGGCAAGAGGCCTGGACACAGAGCCAGAATTCTGACTCGGCACCATACCTGCGATGTGACCTTATTCCGGAGTATCACATTTTATTGTCTCCAAACCCAAAGAGCCCTTCAGATGCCCTTGAAGGTGTCATTTCCTGATAGCTTGAATTATGATCTTCAAGGATTTTTGTCTTCATCAGTGAAGTGGGGAGAGTGATTCCTGCTATTCTGTCTCCCAGGGATGTTGGAAAAGGTGTGGAGGTTCCCTTAGTTGGAATAGACTGGGCTTGGAAGCTGCTTCCTAGATTTTCAGCAGCATAATCATTAACCATTAACCTCACTTTCTTTTATGGCCCTTTTCATAGGCTGCGTTTAGTTGGAGCCATTATCTTACATTAGCTGGCCTTTTAAGGTCTGTTCATCGCACAGAAAAGAGGCAATTCAGATTAATCATATGGAACCCACAGAGCAGTTTTCTACTGGCTGTTGGAGAGGGCTGGGTCCTCCCATGTTGATTCTACCGTCTCTCTCCATTTTCACTTGCATCAAATGGCTTTGGGAGAGTGATATACAGATAAATATATACATATGGGTATGTACACACACACACACACACACACACAGAGAGAGAGAGAGAGAGAGAGAGAGAGAGAGAGAGAGAGAGAGAGAGAGAGAGAGAGAGAGAGAGAGAGAAATCTCTCCCAAGGTTAACTGTAAGTACTGTCTATAGAGATAGGAAAGAATCGAGCTGTTCCTCTTTGTGAGGGTGGCCAGGGACCAGGATACCCTTGTGAGGGACTTGATAGACCATCAAAGGAGTGTGGATCAGGGTTGCTGACATCAGTGCTCTTCCTCTCTTGGGTTCATATGGCTTCAGGTAGCTTCAAACCCTTGTAGTTTCTCTGGGGTGGAGAAGTCTCAAAGGATGCCTACTCTGAAGGGATGGACAAGAGCAAGCAGCTCCTCCCTCAGAACAAATTGGAAAAGCCATCATACTGCTTACCTGTAACTGTGATGAGAGAGAGGGAAATGGGGGGAGGGAGGGAGGGATAGCCCTCGCTTTCCATATAGCTCTGTGTCTCATGTATATATACATATATATGAGAGAGGGAGAGACTTTATGATGCTAATGTATTAATGACAAAAAAAAAAAAAAATCCGGGAGGACTGGGAGAGTAAACATGCCAGATGGAGGGCCTGGCTGTATGAGATCCAGTAACTTCTCACATGAAGTGGACAGCATCCCATTGAAATCCTTGGAGGCTGCGCCAAGTTCATTATGCCCCCCAAACCTTCATGTTTATCAGATCCTTAGAATAGGACTTTCGTTTGAAATAGAGTCTTCACAGATGAAATTAGTTTAGTAAGGATGAGGTTGCGGTGGATTGATCTGGACCCTATCCTCATGATGGACATTTTAATAGGAAGAGGAACATTTGGGTAGAGAGGAAGACACACAGGGAAGATGGCTGTATGAAGACAGAGAGTGTAACAAAGGTGATGTACACACAACTGAGGAATGCCAACTGTCAATGGCAGCCATGGTAGATTACAAAAGTGCAAAGAAAGATTTGTCCCTAGATCTTTTGGAGGGAGGGAAGCTCTGCTGTCATCTTGATCTTTGGACTTGCAGCTTCCACATTAGTGAGAGAATAACTTTCGTGTTGTAAGACACCTTGGTTGTGGTGGGTTTTGATGGTGGCCCTAAGAAATGAACACAAAGGTCAGGTGGTGGTGTTTTCTGTGACTCTGCATAGAGTGTGTGGTGTGCTTCACCAACACAGTGCTGAGCTCTGGTTTGTTTCACCAGCAGCCTGGCCCCAGATAGAAATCTCCATTCAAAGGTCCCTGTTCAGGGATGCACCCATGAAATCTGAACGTTATGGCTGCCTAAACGAGACTTGCACACACAACGACAACGTCAGTTGACATTCCAATGTCAATGGGGGAAATCTAACAGGGCCCCATCCCTAGAAGAAGAGCTACAGGCAATTCAGAGCTGCCAAGAAAGGGAGAGTCAGTTGCCTCCTTGGCTAAACTTTCCAGTAGATCATCTAATACTAAGTGGTATGCTCTAAACACATAACATACAAGAAATACTAAATGGACTCAGGAGGTTATATTTATGAATACATATGTATTCACATGTATATGTAACAATAATTAAAGAAGAAGAGGTGATAAATTTGAGAGAGAGTGGAGACATGGGAGGAGTTGGGAGGAAGAGAAGATGGGGTATAAATAACATAAGTGGCGTAAATATTGTACTCATGCATGAAATTCTCAAAATAGTGTAAAATAAAACAACAACAGAAGGTCCCTGTTCCATAGAAGAAGGGCACTGCTGATTACAGACAAGGCACCACTGGGTCTGTTCCCAGCCCCGTGGACATACCTGTTTTGCCTCCCCTCTGTGCTCCATTTTACACTCATTCTTGGAGATCTTGTGGTTGATTCACACAGACCTTAAAGGCCTCTGGTCCCTAGTGAATGCTCCACTTTTCCCCAAAGTTGTGGTGATTTGAATGAGAATGGCCCCTATAGGCTTATATGTTTGAATGCTTGGTCCCAGTTAGTGGAACTGTTTGGGAAGGATTAGGTGTGGCTTTGTTGGAGGAAGTGTGTCACTAGGAGTGGACTTTGAGGTTTTAAATGTTCACACTATTGTCAGTTCTCTCTCTCTCTCTCTCTCTCTCTCTCTCTCTCTCTCTCTCTCTCTGTGTGTGTGTGTGTGTGTGTGTGTGTGTGTGTGTGTGTGTGTGTGTGTGTGTGTCTGTCTGTCTCTGTCTCTCTCTGATGCTAGAAAGCTGTTTTGTGGGTCTGCTGGTGCATTGATCTTGGTCTTCTAGCCTCCAGAACATACAAGTCTATAGTTTAAGTCACCCAGTCTATGGTAATTTGTTATAGTAGCCTGAGCTGTTTTCCTATCAGCTTAATCCTACTCACTCTCATTCTCCCTCCCTCCTAGCTATTCACATATTTTAAAAGCTTTTTTAATTGGTAAACTTTTTATATAAAAGGTTTACTAGTAAATATTTTAGATTTTGTGGGCCATGACTGCTATGTCTTGTGGTAGCAGTCATTGGTAGTATTTGAACAAATGAGTGTAACTATATTCCAATGAAACATTTTCAATGAATTTCTGAAATTTGAATACTGTATCATTTTTACCTGCAATGAAATATTCTTCCTCTGATGTTCCAATGAGGCAAAACCCACTGAGTTTGTGGGGTACACACACAAAAAAGATAGAGACTGTATTTACTATCTCCTGGGAAACTTTCTCCCTCTTCTTCAAGACAGTCTTTGCATTATGATATTCCATTGTGGACGCTCATCAAACAAGTATTGAGCACCCGTGATGGCCAGGGGGCAAGCTTGTATCAGATGCTGTGACATGCTCTGAAAAAGACATGGTATTTGGTCATGAACCTGGGCAGAATTGGAGGTAATTCCAAGGCTCCTCCTTTTTACAAATCCCCGGCAACCTTCAGTCATGGAGATGTGTGTTTCCATCTAAACATCTTTTGCATATTTTGCTCCTGTTATATGCTTAGTGCACAGTGGGACCGAAGACTCAGTTTAGCACATTCTGATGGCCTGCTGGCCTTTGGATTTTTTTGAGTCTCTTTTATGTCTCATGACCTCCTGTTCTTCTGGAGCTCATGGGAGCTCAATACTTGTTTGATGAGTGACCGTGGTGGTGGAATATAAATTCGAAGACTGTCTTGAGAAAGGAGAAAGTTTCCAGGGGCTTCCTGTCAAGCTGTACTCCCCATCCTTAGCCCACAAACTCCGTGGTTTTTGCCATGTTAAGTAGTTGGACCATCAGAGGAAGAATATTTTATTGCAGGCAAAAATGATAAGGTATTCAAATTTCAGTATCCATGGATAAAGTTTTATTGGAACACAGGAAGTAGACAAAGTATTTTCTTACTAAGATCATTGACCTGTTTATTGAAGAACCACAGGCTTTTAATTTATAGGATGCTCCTAAACTACTTCTACAGTAGTTTACATCCCAACTCAGGAACACTTGGAGAGCTGCAGGGCTTCTGTTGGTCGATTTCCTCATCTGCTCGGTGCAGAGACACTCTGGTTCCAAGGGAGCTTGTGCTGCCTGTTGGAGGGGAAGATGAGTGGCCCAATAGTGCAGTTCAGTGGAGAATCCAGATTTCAGGTGGTAATAAAGAACAAGGAAAGTCTGTCTACCCCATGAGCTCCAACCAGATGCTCTCGGGCTTGGAGGCTAGAGATGCATGAAGTGAGCCTGTGGTACCCCAAGTTTACAGATGAGATTTCTGCAAGGAAGCAACTTGCCTGAGGCTAGGTGGAGACTTGACCATTTTCTTTCTTTAGCTGCCTGTCTGGACTTAGCTCCAAAGCACCCTTGCTTTGGAGAAAGAGCCTCAGACTTATTCTCAGGACACTTCTAGCAGCCGGTGACAACTCCTAGGTTTGTTTGCAGAATGTAAAATAGGAAGGATCTGGATCCTTTTTACTTAAGATATGGTTGTCAGATCAGCAGCACAGACACTACCCAGCTGCTGGTCTCCTGCAGGGTGACAGGTGTTTCTAGGGCTTGTGCTAGACCTTGGATGGCACAAACCATCTGGAGTTGAATAAGTTCCTAACCCACATGTATCTCAGAATAACCAGGGAACTTACATCAGGCTAATGGAGACATGGGGTCTATCCAATGCTCCCTGCCCCCTTCTTCTGTGGTTTGGG